CGGGCGGCGGCAGCAGCGGCGATGGCGTTGGGGGGGGGGAGAACCCCGGAAGAGGAAGAAGAAGAGGAAGAAGAAGAAGAGGAAGAAGAAGAAGAGGAGAGGGAACGGCGTCGTTTCTGGCCCACAATTTGAGCAGGGAGAGGGGCAGGAGCGGCTGCGAGTTAGCAATGTCTTGGAGAGCTAAAGAACAGATAAACAAGGCCAAGTTCGGCGAAGGTATAGGAGGTTGGGCGAAGAACTCACACTCAGGACTATCAACATTGTTATCCTCTACACTAACCGCCACCATATCATCATCTGAGATATCTTCTAACTCAGTTTCACCCTCACGATCCTGATCCTCCTCATCACTATAATCACCCCCTTTTCCTTCGAAGTCTGACTGATCGTCCGACTCCGAACCACTGAGCGACTCCTGGTCGGAGGAGGACGGAGACTCACCAGGACGAAAGGCGGGCGTCCTGCGGCGAGGGCTGGCGGCAGGAGGAGAAGCGGAGGGAGAACGGGCGGGAGAACCGGCAGGAGGACTGGCGGGAGGAGAAGCAGAGCGAGGAGGCGAGGCGGCGCCAGACGGTTCCCCCAGGGAAAGAGTGCCGAGGCCAAGAGAGGAAACTTGGCGAGACCTATCACCGAAGGAAACTGAACGTCAGCCAAGTGCGGCGAAGTGCGGTAGGTACAGGGGAAAGACTCACGAGCAGACGACACCATACCACCAAAGTTCCTCATGGCGGCGAAAGGGTTGGAGGTGGGAGTAGGAGGGGCCATGACGTTTAAAATACTTAAAGAAATAAAAGATGATACGTCGAGGTAACAAATCCGTTTTCTAAGCGCGAGAGATAGAAAGTTTTGAAAACAGATGGGGAAGAGAGAGAAGGACGATGAACTGCTCAGTACTTAGTATAACTCGAGTTACCCCTCCGTCGTCAACATGCGGCATCCTTCGCGTTTCATCAACAAAAGGCATCGCAGGGACGATCAAAATTCCCACGCTATAGTGTCTCATCTCAATATAAACGAGGGTTACTTCGACAGACTACGGTGTTGTTCGGCTGCCATTCACGAAGCGTGTCTCACCTACAAAAGACACAGGGCTTCTTACGGCAAACCTCGACGAAGTTAGGGGAGTCTCATTGTCGGGTTCTGGAGTGAAAGGAGGCCCGACTACGAAGTGCGGCGCAAAGAACAGAAGAGTGAAGGTTGGTCGTGGGGAGGGAGAGAATGGGGGTACTACGCTGCTAAGTTCTCTTGCCACGACAGAGGTGTAATCGCTCACGAGGACGTTCGCGGCTAAAGAAGGGGGCGACTGTCACGAACTACGTCGTGACACCTCGATTACTCCACCAACAATGACCCTCCTTTGGCCATCAAAACCCCATCACGCCTTAACCTCTTTACTCTACACGTAACTCAGGACTTCTGACACCAAGTACGGCGAACCTCTTTACTCTACACGTAACTCAGGACTTCTGACACCAAGTACGGCGAAGTTAGACGGAGTTAGGCTAAGTAGGGACAATGGGAGCAGAAGTGCGGCGATGTTAGGCGGAGTTAGGCTAAGTAGGGACAATGGGAGCAGAAGTGCGGCGATGTTAGGCGGAGTTAGGCTAAGTAGGGACAATGGGAGCAGAAGTGCGGCGATGTTAGGCGGAGTTAGTCGAAGGAGGAAGAGGATGGCCGAGGGCTCGGGGAAGTTGGACGAAGTGCGTTGAAGTACGTCAAAGCGCGAGAGGGTTGGATGAACGTCTAGGAGGAGTAGATAATATTAGCTGAGAAGATCGCTGAAGTTCTTCAGCGATCCTTGATTGTTGTCAGTAGTAAAAGACAGATAGAGATAGCTATAAATCAAGATACATCGCCATCAGTAGATCAAAACCCTAGTTAGAGTAACTACGCCGAAGTACGCCGTAGTTACACCCCTTTCGACGTCTGCGCCCTCCTGGTTGGGTGAGACATCGACTCAGAGCGTGAAGTTAGCCGAGGTTCGTCGACCGTCGGTCTATTAAGAAGTAGTTGTTCGACGGCCGTGACACTAACACTCCCCCACGGGACAATGCACGACTCTGCAGTAGTCCCGGACGATTTATCGATGGCGACGGCGGGGTTTGTGATGATGTAGAAGGTAGTAATGACGAAATATTGAGTGTTATGTGTGTGGTAGTAGTGGTAGGTGAAATCGTGAAATGAATTTCTGTGGGGCCCCCTGCGGGGCTCCGCTCTGACACGTGGCTACCACTCACCGGTACCGACGACTGACTCTTCTCTATCTTTCCTTTTACTTCATCACTTTTATCTCCAATTATCGGTATGTCCATCTTTCGTCTTTCTCCACTTCTATCTCTCATTTGTGACTCTCTGAACTTCCCTTTATCCTTTCTGCTTCTTAAAACTTCAGGTTTGCTAGTAGGATCCCGAGAATCGATGAAATTGCTTCGAGTACCAGGCTGACGATATCTATCATTAGTAGCGAAATCATCATGTCCCAAATTTCTCCTGCTGTTCTCGCGACTATCGCTACTCCCTCGGTTCCTGGACCGTCTGATCGTCCTGTCCTTAGGTTGCTCCCCAGCAATCCTCCCGACTGTAAGTTTATTACTGTTCGTCATGTCATGAACTTTATTGAGTTTGAGATCTCTCTCAGAAGGTACAATTTGAACTGGGGATCTTGAAATCGAACCTCGATAAACATTTCCTTTTGCTAGGGAACGCTCTATTGGAAGATGGTGGTACCCATGCGAGGGTACAAGAGATCGTTGATACTGTTGACTCTCTCCACGAAAAGATCGAGGCTGTCCTCGGTGGTTATAAAGTCGCTGGTTACCAGCCCAAGTTCCCGAAATTCGTGGATTTGACGATGGAGGTTGAGTAGAACCTCCACTATGTATCATCTTATCCCTTCTCTCACTCTTCTCTTTCATCTCTCTAATGACTCTAGGTTCTACCGGTGGTTTTTGACCTATCTTCGAATTACTCACATTCTTAGGTACACCTGAAAATTTTACATTTTGGCTCACGAGAACTTTTCCTTCGGTGGGTTTCTCTGAAGTTCCTTCCACCCACACTTTTCCTTCTGGTACTACTTCTCTCTCTGGTACCACTTCGTTCTCTGTACCACCTGACAGATCTCCTAGATCCTCGAAATCAGAATAATCGTAATCGATGATTTCATCATCATCTAATGTCACGTATACTGAACCAGTGTTTTTCTTCTTCGGTGGTTCTACACGTATCGCTGACATATTCACCGAATGTACTGGTCCACCTAAAGCCTTCGTGAGTACGTCTGCCCTCTGAGAGACAGTGCTAACGTATTCTAGTTCAATAACCTTGTTACTGACTAGATCTCGAAGAGCATGATGTCGAATATCAATATGCTTTGTCCTCTGGTGAGTACCAGGTTTCCTCGCTAGTGATATCGATCCTTGGTTATCGCAGTTTAATGTAGTAGGATTTAGCTGATCGTAGCCTATCTCCCTCAATAATCCTCTCAATCACTGAGCTTCCTTCGCTGCTTCAGCCATCGCGATGTATTCTGCTTCGACTGTCGACGACGATACTGTAGCTTGTCTTTTTGAACTCCAGGTTATCGGTGAGTTGTTCATCATGAATATCCAACCTGTAGTTGATCGTCGTGTGTCTTTACAACCTGCCCAATCGGCATCAACCCATCCTGCTAGATCGCTAGCCTCGCCACCGAGACGAATACCATGTAAACGAGTGGACCGAAGGTAGGTAATTACCATTATCCCTTCTTCCCATACTTTCTTCGTCGGTTTAGTGAGGTACCTAGCAAGGTATGAGGCGGCATATGATATGTCGGGTCGAGTACATGTGGCTAACCACTGTAGACATCCTATTAATTCTTGAAATGGTCGAATTTCACTCTCCGCCTCCGACATCGATGGATTTTTCGCAGTAAGGGGTAATGGCGTTTTTCGGTCTCGATGTAAGTCGTTTTCTGGAAACTTCTGAACTATCTTATCGATATATGCTGGTTGGTTTAACCATATTGTCTTTTCTTCTCTGTTCCTTGTTACCTTCATACCTAAGATAGTACTTATCTCCCCCAGGTCGGTTATTATCCACCTTTTACCTAGCCCATCGAAAATTTCCTTCGCTTCTTCCTTCGACTTCGTGGCTAATACCAGATCATCGACATAGGCTAGCAGTATTGCTGCTCCCTTTCCTTCGATTTTCCCTTCTGGTCTGTAGTAAAGACCCCAATCTGATTCGATTCTTGAAAAACCTAGGTGAGATAATCCTTCGCCGAGTTCTATCCACCATGTCCTGCCAGATTGCTTTAAACCGTAAAGAGACTTAACTAACTTCAAGGTATTACATCCAGGCTTCGGTTTTATCCCCTTGGGATACTTCATGTAAATTTCTACATCGAGTTTACCGTTTAAATACGCCCCTTCGACATCGGCCTGACGAATTTCGAGATCTTCGGTGGCCGCTATAGTCAAGAGTATTCGTCACAAAGCGGATTACTCTTGTACAAAAACAGAGTAGTCATACCAGAGGGACAAGCAAGATTAGAAGTAATGCTACTAGTCTGGATTTATACTTTAGTAAGTTTCCTTCTGAATCTGTCTTCACTTTGAATACTGTTACGGGGTAACAACGAATCGAGGGAACTCTATCGAGTTCGACGGATTAGGACAGAGGAAAGCGGGAGTTGGAGGCAGTGCTGCAGTAGGTAGGGACGGGTTTTCCCCTTTCGAGATTTTCCCCACTGGGTTTGCTCAAAGCGGTTTTTCACCTGTCCGAGTATGTACATGGACGCTTGCAGTAGGACTGAGAAGAGGAGACGGATACCTGTAGACAGTATATAGTACAATCAGCAAAGTACCAACTTTGCTGATTCTTCAATATCATTCTTTGGCTACATCGATTGCAGAGGAGACACGATCCATTAGCACCAGAGCCCCTAGATTTCCACGAGACCTCCATCGAGTTCGACCCAACCTGCGACCTAGTCGTCGTGTTTCCAGTACCGTTACAAGTTGAAGAATCAGCCTTACGCACCTTGGGTCGAATCGGAGAGTACTGTATGCTCACCAGAGGGAAAGCGCGGAAAATGATACCAGAAAAAGAGGAGTTGGAACAAGGGCTGGTCCCAGAGAAAGAAATACCAACAAGTTCTTCGAGAAGTACCATTTCACATGATCTCACTTCTACTACCACTACCCCAGATCCGCTAAATGAATTATCGCAGCAGTTGTCACAATTGTTAGCCATTATGACGATGCAACAAAAGGAACAAAATGCATTAAGGGAAGAACTGGCTACGATAAAAGCTGACCGACAGAACCAACAGATACTCACATCGAAAGGGGCAAGTTTGATCGAAGTCGAAGAAAACAAGCCGTGTTTGGAGCCAAAACTTACCAACAACGAACGAACAGGAAGAACCAGGTGTGCGGATCCACCTACCTTCAGTGGAGAACGAGGAGAATTGGACAACTTCCTTGCAGCATGTCACATGAACTTCGAATTCAAAGGGGCAGAGTACGCCACCGATCGCAGAAAGATCCTGTTCATGTACGGGTATCTTCGAGGCACCCCTCAAATGCTTATAACCCCGGCCATAACCAATCCAAGTATATGGAATTCGACCGAATGGCTAGAGAGCTACGACAAATTCATCCAGCATTTACGAACTCAATTTGGAGACAGTAACATGGCAGGTACGGCTATGAGGAAATTGCAGGAGTTAAGACAGACGGATACGGCCGCCGAGTATTTTGCCAACTTTGAACTTTGGTCCACACACCTTGGAAAGGTACCAGATGCAATGAAAATCGCCTCAGCCATACAGGGCCTGAAGGAAGAGCTACTGAAGGTGGTAGTGGTAAATAACACCGACCCTCGAACCAAATCGGACTGGATCTATTTCAAACAGCATGTGATAGGGACTGAGGAGAACCAACGGATGGCTGAAACGATGATTGCAGCGAATCGATGGGCTGCTAGACGCAAACATGAGACGACCTGGCTTCCCCCTCGATCGAATTCGATGCGATTGGATACTAGTTTGCCCAACCCGGTAGAACGCCACTCACAATCGACTGGTAGAGGACCCTTGCCCGGTGGAAAACCAGGGATGATGAATTATGGTCTACCAAATGACCCTCCGGTCACTTGGACAGAGGACGGAGGACGTCTCAGCGAGAACGAAATGACTTGGAGGAGGGAGAACCGACGTTGTCTCAAATGTAGAAGTCCAGAACATTACGCCAACAACTGTCCAAATGGAGGAAATACGAGAAACAACATTAGGGGATCCCCAAACCCGCATAGCTCACCAATTCCTAGTGGATCGAACTCGATCCCAACCGGATCCAAAGGGCCATTAGTTCGAGGAATGGCGGTAACCTTTGAAGAAGAGGGAAACGAATACCTGGCCTAAGTGATGCGACCACTTGCGGCCAGGATCTAACAGAATCGCACAAAATTCAACTACCAATAGATCTCAGTAATGACTCGGCTATAATATACATAAAGATACAGACAGAAGAAGATACCCTACGATTTGGAATGTTAATTGATACCGGAGCTACCGGAAGATACGTACAGCCGGCCTGTCCATTATACCATTTATTCCCAAAGAGACAGTATCAGGAACCACGGAAGATCAGATTCCTCGATGGAACAACCGCGACGTTAGTGACCGAGTATGTAGAAGCTGAGTTGGATTTAGGAGCAGGACTCAAGATTGCGACTCGATTGGATGTGATGGCATACGAAGGCCCCGAGGTACTGGTGGGATTGGATTTCTTGAAACAGTTTAGGGCAAGGATCGATTGTGGAAAGGGATTGATCGAGTTCGACGGAATCGGACAGGATAACGGTTGGAAGTATCCGAGGTTGGAGGAAGGATTGATAAGAGGAACAGCATTGGAAAAAGGAGAAGATGAGATGAGCGAAGAAGAGTTACGACAGGTCATACCGACACAATGGCACCAATACCTGGAGCTATTCAAAGTGGAACGAGCCAGAAAACTACCACCAAGAAGAGAATGTGACCACGAGATCGAATTGACCCCCGGAGCAGAACTAAAACCAGGACCAATCTACCAACTGGATGAACATGGGGATGCATTCCTAAAGCAGTGGATCAACGATGGTCTGGCCAGCGGCCATCTACGAAGAAGTAAATCACCTTATGGGTCTCCTGTATTCCTGGTTCCAAAAAAGGGAGTGATTCCCTATCGAGTGGTAACGGATTATCGTGCGCTTAACAAGGTAACCATTAAGGATTCATACCCAATGCCACTCATCTCGACACTACTCGATCGACTTCAATTAGGAAGGATCTTCACTAAGCTCGATTTGAAAGGGGCTTACCAGTTAGTCAGGATAAAGGAAGGAGATGAACAAAAGGCTGCCTTGCGAACAAGATACGGCAGTTTCGAGAGCACAGTCCTAAGGGATGGGTTGTGTAATGCACCAGCCACCTTTCAGAACTTTCTACAAGACATGTTTCACGATCTACTTGACGAAGGGGTAGTAGTTTATATCGACGATATCACGGTATACTCCGACACGATCGAAAACCATCAGATAATTGTCCAAAAGGTATTAGATCGACTACTGGAAAACGATTTGGTCGTCAGTCCGAGAAAATGCGAATGGAGTTCAAATGAAGTGAAGTTCCTGGGGTACGTAATAGGACACGAACGGATCGAAATGGATCAAGAAAAGGTGAAAGCTATTCTAGAATGGGGAGAACCCATGACAGTCCGGGATACTCAAGTGTTCTTGGGGTTTGCGAATTTCTATCGGAGGTTTATCAAGGGGTTTTCGCATATTGTGGGACCTCTCACACGATTGACTAGGAAGGATCAAGCTTGGAACTGGACACAAGAATGCCAAAAGGCTTTTGACGATCTAAAGAAAACATTTACCACAGCACCAGTACTTCGACATTTTGATAGAACCCGACCGACTTGGATTGAAACCGACGGATCCGATTGCGCGATAGGTGCGATAGCGTCTCAGAGATTTCCTCACCCATCAATAAAAGGAACCACCGAACTTCACCCAGTAGCGTACTGGTCTCGAGCAATGACGCCCTGTGAGCTAAACTACACGGTGGGAGAGAAAGAATTATTAGCCATCGTGGATTGCTTGGTCGCCTGGAGACCCTACTTGGCTAACAGTAGTGATGTTATAAAGGTCATTACCGATCACAAGAACCTAGAATACTTCCAAAGCAAACGACAACTAAATCGAAGGCAGATGAGATGGTTGGAAATATTGGGAGACTTCAACATAGAGATCACTTATCGACCAGGGAGCAAAAATGGGGGAGCAGATGCTCTGACGAGACGAGGAGATTATCATCCGGGAAGAGGGAGTAGCAAGGACCCGAATCTTAACAAAGGCAACTGGCTACAATTGCTACCGACACACGAACAAATTGGATCGAATTCAATGGACTCAGAACACAAAGGACCAAGACACATAGTAAGAGGAGCAATCCGGGAAGACTCATTATTCGGACTCATCAAGAACGGACTGAAAGACTCAGAAGACATAGCAAACATACGACAACTAGGACTACAGATGGCACAGACACATAGCACACAGAGCACACAGAGCACCCAGAACACACAGGACACACAGAAGACACAGGCTAGCAGCGAGACACCAATAGTATCATGGACACAGAGCGGATTACTCTTATACAAAAACAGAGTAGTCATACCAGAGGGACAGGCAAGATTAGAAGTAATGAAAGCAAGACACGATTCTGTCACGAAGTGACAAGACAGTTTGATAGTGATAGTGATAGGATGGGTTGGGTATTTAACCAGCGACCAGCGGTATGCAGTAACCGCCGGTTAATAGGCCTTTTAGCACAGTGGTTTAGACCACTGCCTCTGAAGGGCACTGTTATATCGTCCCAATGCTGGTTAGTTGGTCTCGTGACAGATTAACCGGCGGTTACGGGTAGGATCCTGGGTTCGACTCCCAGGGTGGGCTGGGTCAAATTCAGTCCCTACTTGGAAAACCTCCCTCTCGGAGAAAGTTTTCGGCCTATCGTACCCTTCCCTGTTGGGGCCCCAGATGGGGCTGAAAGGGAAGGCATAATGTCACGAAGTGACAAGACAGTTTGATAGTGATAGTGATAGGATGGGTTGGGTATTTAACCAGCGACCAGCGGTATGCAGTAACCGCCGGTTAATAGGCCTTTTAGCACAGTGGTTTAGACCACTGCCTCTGAAGGGCACTGTTATATCGTCCCAATGCTGGTTAGTTGGTCTCGTGACAGATTCGATGCTAGTGGGTCATCCAGGAAGAGACAAAACTATCACCATGGTCAAAGAGGACTATTACTGGCCACATTTGGACGAGTATATTGCAAAATACGTAAAAGGATGCGAGATCTGTAACCGACACAAGACTCATCGACACCAGCCGTATGGACATCTGGTCTCTTTACCAGTACCCACACTGCCCTGGACAGATATCTCTATGGATATGGTGGGACCCCTACCAAAATCGACCGAGTTCGACGCGATACTGGTGATAGTCGATCGACTAACCAAGATGGCTAGATTTATTCCATGTACAACTGGACTAACAGCGAACAAAGTGGCCGACATCTACATCAAGGAGATCTTTTCAAAACATGGAGTACCTCGAACAATTGTGTCAGATAGGGGAACTCAGTTTACGGCGGAAATTTGGAAGGAAATATGTCAGTTCTTGGGAATAAAGAACTTATACTCGACTGCGTATCACCCTCAAACAGATGGACAAACTGAGCGAGTAAATCAACAGATGGAAATCCTGCTCGGAATGTATGTAAACTACAACATGGACAATTGGGATCAACTTCTACCAATTGCTGAGTTCGCTTATAACTGTTCGCCACATAGTAGCCACGGTCTGTGTCCCTTTGAAGCCTGTTACGGCTATGTGCCACACTACGACATCCATTCGCACGATATTCGATCAAAGTCAAACAAGTTGGAGAGGAAATGGAGGGATATGGGAGAGTTACATGCGGCTGTTCAAGAACAGGTCAGGATGGCTAATGAGATTAGTGCCGAATACTACAACAGGAGACACAAGAGTGTACCAGAAGAATTCAGAGAGGGAGAACAGGTACTACTGAGTACGAAGTATCTTACGACGGAAAGACCCAGTCGAAAATTAGAAGCAAAATACGTTGGCCCCTTCAAGATCATAAGGAGAGTGGGGAAAAATGCTTTCAAATTAGATCTACCTCCATCAATGAGAGTGCACAATGTCTTCAATGTCACGTTGTTGGAACCATATCCTAGAGACATGATACCAGGTCGACAGATACAACCCCCACCACCTGTAGTAATAAACGGCCAGGAGGAATTCCATGTGGAAGCAATTGTGGACAGTAGAATTCGACGAGGAAAGGAGGAATTCAAGGTAAAATGGTTAGGATACACAGGGAATGCGGCCTATGACTGGGAACCACGAGAAAATGTAGAAGAGTTGGCCGTTTTTGGTGAATTTCTGGAAAAGAGGAAAAAAGATCCCAGAAGAAAGTGAGAATTCGATCAAAATCAACGGAATTTATTGGGAAATAAATACATACACAGGAGATATGGCTACGTATAGAGAGATATAAAATACACTAGAAGTTGGAGGTGGTAGAATTGGCTCGGGGACGACGGACCGAGGCGGGAATACGAATGACATTGCGGGGGAGAGGAGTATGGGGAGAAGAGGAGGGACCGGCGACTGGTTGAGAAGAAGTCAATCCGGTTGGATCAGCAGCAGAGGTGAGATGATCCAAGGTTTCAGAAGGAGAGGGAGGGGCGTAGTTGGAAGGAATGAGATGAAGAGATTTGTAGAGGCCCAGATGTACTGGGGGAAGAGGAAGAAGGAGAGAGGAAAAGAGGTGGATGTAAGCGGAGAGTTGGGTGAGAGAAGAGGATTGATCCTGGGAGGAAAGGGATCGATATCGGGCCGAGACAGCACAGAGTTCGTGCTCCAGGACGAAGGTAACCTTGGAAGTAACAGTCTGGGCTCCGACAGTAATACCCTTTACATCAACATCGACCAAGTTCGAAGGAAGAAGATAGATACCTCGCGAAATTTGGACTCGGGATTGTTGGTTTTCACCGAACACTTTGAAGTTCCCTTCGCGGAGCACTCTCCACAAACACCACCAACTAAGTTGCATCAATATCGAACAGGAAGAGTAGGAAGACTCACGAGGACCGATACAACCTACACGAAAATCTTCTCCACCATCGAGACGACGCTGGCAATCGGAGCAAAGCTCACCCTCGAGACGGACAACAGCGCCATTCTTGTTACGAAGTCGCCAACCTTGGGCCAAGCGATCAAGCTAACAGTTAGAATTCGGTGGAATACGAAGGAGAAAAAGCTCACGGCGTTACCAAACCACTTGACAGTGGGCTTGATGGCCCCAGTCTCGCGAAAGCGATCGAGGGCTTCATCCTTCAGAGCGTGACGAACAGAGGAAAAAGAAAGGCGGGCCCAGAGGGTAGCTGACGAGTCAGAAACGCACAGAATTCTGTAGAAATCTCACCAATTTCCGAGTCTTTTCGAGCATCCAGAGCCTTAGCAAGTTCATCATTGACCGGAACCTTGCGAGGGGCGTGAAAAATGGTTTCGAGTTCATGGGGAACCTCGACAAGCCCCTCGGAATCGGAAGGTGGCACAGGGGACTTATTACCAGGAGAATTTTGATTTTCAACGATGGTACCGTGTTCGGACTCGACAGATTTCGCAGGAGATGGGTTCTCACCAGTGGTAGATGGCCCTGCCCCCGCTTCGAAGTCGATATATTGCTCGATGACCTCGTCATCGAGAAGAGACGATTGTTGGTCGCGAGAAGGGCCGGATTGATATCGATCCTTAATGGTGTCGAGAGCCCTTCGAGAAGCGTCAACCAATGGAGTTTGAGAGGGAACTGGCGCTTGGGAAGTAATTCTCATTCTTTTCGTTTGACGCATGAGAAGTTCGGGATCGACGTCGGGGAGAATGGCCACAGTAGAGGCCCGAGTTTGACGAGAAGAGATAGACGAGGACAACTAATCTCGTCAGCCAGTGATAAACAGGAGGAAGTGCATCGAATTCGAAGAGAATTGCTTACAGTACGCTTAGACATGCTCACAGACAGGTCAGAGTTGGAAGGATGCTCTAAGATATGAGTAAGATATGGATGGATAATGATAGATAAGTAAAAAGAATGACAAACAAGAGGTAAAGAGAGAATGAGGAGGAAAGAAGAGAAAAAAGACGGGGAGGTAACTTGGTCAGTAATTTCTCGATCACATTGGAGGTCCGTGCGGGTGACGCGTTTTCATGGCAACCATCACACTAGCGTGGGTATGATGTCAGGGCGCACCAAAGGTGTCTAAGAACAATCCATGTGCATCACCTGGTTACAGGATTCAGGATCCTCGGCGAGGATCCTTGAGACAGGGGGGGAAACTTGTTACGGGGTAACAACGAATCGAGGGAACTCTATCGAGTTCGACGGATTAGGACAGAGGAAAGCGGGAGTTGGAGGCAGTGCTGCAGTAGGTAGGGACGGGTTTTCCCCTTTCGAGATTTTCCCCACTGGGTTTGCTCAAAGCGGTTTTTCACCTGTCCGAGTATGTACATGGACGCTTGCAGTAGGACTGAGAAGAGGAGACGGATACCTGTAGACAGTATATAGTACAATCAGCAAAGTACCAACTTTGCTGATTCTTCAATATCATTCTTTGGCTACATCGATTGCAGAGGAGACACGATCCATTAGCACCAGAGCCCCTAGATTTCCACGAGACCTCCATCGAGTTCGACCCAACCTGCGACCTAGTCGTCGTGTTTCCAGTACCGTTACAAATACCCATTTACATCCAATGGCTTTACGGCCCGGTGGTAACACCGTTTCCACCCATGTTTCTTTAGATTCGATGTTAGATATCTCTTTCTCCATGGATTCCAGCCACTTCTCACCATCTGGGCCGTTTACTGCTTCTTCAGGAGAGATAGGATCAATGAGAGAAGTATCACTTTCGATACCTGCGATAGAGGCGAGTGAGACTAACTTATTAGGCTCGCGACCAAAGTCTAGGAACGAGTCTGTTAGGCCTGCAAAACGGTGGGGGGGTCGAATAATTCGTCCGTGACGTGTCGTCAGGATCCCCTCATCCCCATCATTTCTTCCTTCCTCATCATTTCTCTCATTTTCGACGATATCGTTCTCATAGATCCAATTTCCTCCCCAAATGCCCTGTCCTCGTCGTCTTTCAGTAGGTTGTGGGCCTGTATTAGGTGAGTTGTCTCTATCAACATCATTTCCTTGTTCATTATCGATATTTTCCTGTTCGCCACTTTCTGAGCGGTCGTCAGGGAAAATTTCTTCGTTGACGACGGGGTCTAGGTCCACTTCGATGGCGTCAAGAGGGGTTTGGATGACATCTGGCGACTCTCTAGTAGCCACCATTCGTCCTGTCGAGCGACGAACGTCTCGTGAGTGTTCGATTCGTCCCGATCCGTCCATTCTAACGATCCAACCGCTCACACCCTCATCCTGACCTAGTATAATGGCTGACGAACCCCTAGGTATCGTGAAGTTCGACTTCAGCCTTATCTCTCTTGGTATCTGAACGAAACATCGTTCACCAAATCTCCACACGCTATCTAAGTTCGTGTCTCTTCCTGTGAGTGATGTCCAGCCTGATTTACCACTGACACCAATCGAGGTTTTCATAATTATAATGGCGGCGTATCTGACAGCATAGGACCAATATTCGTTCGGTAGTCCTGAGTCGAATAACATCGTTGATACCATCCCCTTCAAGGTACGTATCATTCTTTCCGCCACTCCATTTAATTCTGGTGTGTATCTTGGTGTGATGTAGTGGTTGATCCCTGCTGATAGGTAGAATTCCCTCATATCGAGGCTATCGAATTCACCTCCCCCATCAGACCTAATCACCCTCACCCTTTCACCAAGCTGTTTCTCTAATTTCGAGATACACTGTCGAACGATATCTGACGATTCGTTCTTCGTCGTTATCGGTACGGCGAACACAATTCGACTCGCCCTTTCTACACCAACGAAGAAATATCGTTCACCTTTTATCGCCGGACCGAACGGGCCAGCAATATCGACATCCATTCCTACTCCTTCACCATCTCCTTTTAACATTGGTGCTTCTTTATTCTTCGGTAGACGTGTTATCTTGGCCTGCATACAGGCGGGACATTTATCGGTTGTAAAGGGATCGTTCTTGTAAGTGTCCCAGTCCTTCTTCAATAGTCCCTGTCTACCTAGACTCTTTAGTTTATCTACACCTATATGTCCGAGTCGCTGATGCTCAGATTCAAGTGGTGAAGTCGCCTTCGGTGTCGATATCACGATCATCGCGGCAGACATCGCTCTGCCAAATCGTACCGACCATAGTGAGTCATGTTTCCTCAAACCTAGTTTCTCTTTACCTTTACCTATCCATCCACCACTGCTGCTTAGATTCGCCTTCCATCCCCATGAGAGTAACTTCGAGAGGGATAGAAGACTTATCTTCGCTGTGGGGACGTGATGTACATCTTTCAGTACCATTTTCTGTCCTGAATCTAGTTCGAGGTTAATGTCACCTGTTTCCCAAGCCGTCATTGACTTGCCAGATGCTAGTCCGAACACTCTCGGCTCCACTAGTCTTTTAATATTCGTCATTATCGACCTGTGAGGAGTTATGTGGTGAGTAGCACCACTGTCCACTACCCAGGTGGGGATTACACGAGTGTGGCTTACATCATTAGACTCTGTAGCTAATCCCACCCACTCATTATCCTTATCCTCAACCCACGGGTTTTCAATTTCTTCGGGCCATACGATATTATTCGTGTACCCTTCGTCATCATCGAACCACGATTCTGTCGACATGGCCATCCCGGCCCACGCCTCATGTTCACCATCCAATGACGAATACATCAAGGAGGTTTTGGAGTTATCCTTGGACTGGTTCTCATCCTTCGAGACCGTATGTCCTTTCTTATTATTCTTATTATTATTATTATTCCTCCATTTCTTTTTACCTCCATCCTTTCCATCTGCGTTTTCCTTCCTGTTCGTATCCTCTCTTTTAGGTTTACGACAGTACTTCGCTAGATGTCCTACAGTGTCACAGTTATAACACTTTCTGGTTTCTTTTCTGGGCTGACCATCAGAGATATTATCTCGGTTCACCCTCATTCCTTTATTTCCTTCGACGAACATCGCGAATCCCTTCCTATTGGTTCTACCAACAGGGCGCGCTTTACGTCTCGCCGTTTCTTTATTGAAGATCGATAAGACCTTTTCCCAAGTTCTTTCCTCTGCTATGAGGGATGTTACTTCGATCTGAATGATCCTGTAGGATGGTGCTAGAATGGTATTGAGGAATAACCCAGCTCGTTCCTGTGAGTCAAACTTCAACCCTACCAATCTCGCTTCGGACATCGTCTTCGAGAAATCCTCTACATGCTTGGCCATTTCTTCGGCCGTCGCATCGTCCCTTAAGTCATAGCTAAACAACGCTTGACGGACATTCCTTTGATTCTCGATTGTCGCTGTTACATGCAGGGCTATGCAGTAGTCCCACATTTCTTTAGCTGACATCTTCTCAGATATATCAAGCATCACAGCATCCGACACTGTTCCCTTGATCATCCCCTGCGCTTTATTCTCCCTCGCTTGCCACTTTTCCCATTCCTTCCACTCTTCTCCAGTAATCCTTCTACCAGCCACTTGCCCTTCGACGGGCGTGGTAGGAGGTACTGATCCCGCCCTCTCAGCTGCCGATCTAACCCCTACGCGACCAGGTTCGGTATCATTACCTGTGACGATATTCCACACGTCACCTATCTGTAGATACACCTCGATCGACTTCCTCCACGGAGCATACGATGCTGGATCGTGGGATAACTTTGGGTGGTTCTCAAGAGAGATCTTAGACGACACAGAGGTCATTATGAGGAGAGTAGAAATGGGAACTTGCCTTTGTTATGTTATACACAGAGGTATGTGGTCTTCCGACTGTTAATCTGTTAACGCTTATAATTAGATGATAATACAGAGGGGAAAAAGAGCATGCATCAATTCTACATGTCTCTATACTTATCACATTCCACTCACACGCATAAAACCAGAGACGATCGAATAAAGTTCAGAGGATAAGTTGAACGGAGAAATATTCGACGGAAGGGGTAATTCTAACGGCGGTTCGGCCGTCCTGGCCCGATTCTATCGGCTAACAGAGACGACTATAACAACATCGTTTCTCACCCACAAAATCCATCCTTTCATCTCACTCCCCTACCCGCAAACGAGACCGGCGTCCCAAGAGACCATCGAGAGAAAGGTATTACGGCAAAGGGGTTTCAATGTAAGGAAGTGATACCTAGGAGATGACATCAAGGGTTTTGCTTGGTTCATCAGCTTAAAAAGCCCATTTTTGAACGCTTGGACTTGAGAGAGACATAACACACCTTCTACTGACCTACTTTCACTACCCCCGTCGATTGGTTCGTTCATTTTGATCATCTGATTCAATTGAGTGTTGTACTTGTGTGTTGAGAAGAACACTTTGTCTTTGAATATAATGAATGATAGAGACATGGTATCTTTAGCGTAGGTTCTTCTCATTCTACCCATTTCCTCGTTTCTGCCCCAACACGAATCACCCCTGCAAGTACACGCCCCCGCCAAACAGAACATCCTTCTTAACCACGTCCAAACATCAGAAGCGTCACGAACTGGAGAAGAGAAACTCATGACTCGAATTTGTGAACAGTCGTATTTGAACCCTATTGAGAACGAGAGGAAAATAAAGAGATGATTGAGTAAAAGAGTGTGATGAGAAAAAACTCAACCGGCTAACCCTCAGTCCTTCTTCTTTCCAACCCATGGCCCCACCTCCTTCTCTCGCCTCATCAAACTCCACATCTTCAACCCGTCGTCCATCTTATACCAGAAACGAACTTTTCTCACTTGCTCAAACTCCCGATCTTCCATCCATCAAAGGTCTAGAAAAGTTCCCCATCATCCGTGAGAGACGTGAAACTGATGGATGGGATAAATGGGGTATAGACGAATCCTTCTCTTCGTTACTCAACAACGAACCGATCTCCAAACTTTTTCCTGTCCCTCCTTCTCTTCCTTCTGCTCCAGTTTTAATCCCTTCAAGTGAAAGGACTTCCACCACGACCAATATGAGTATTTCGACTGTTCCTTCTCCTCAAAATCTTATTCGTCTTCCCGAAAGCGACAACACCTCTCCCCTCGTAAACAACAAGACTAGCGAGGAGCAGGATAAAAAGACAGAATTAGTATTTGAATACCTCTCACCTGCCAGTAAAGAAGCTCCCGCTCCACCTATCAGATTGGCATTTACCAACCCTTTCGATACTTCTCGTCCACTTGCTGAACAGAAGAAACCAAGTGCAGTGTCCATCTTCAACACTCCTGGATCTCTCTCGCGCACTTCGTCCACTTCCACAGCGTCGACATTAGGTATGATGAGTTTGGGCAAAGACTTTGACAATCTTCGTCTTCATCGATCAATGTCTCGTTCGTCATCGATTTCTTCCGTATCGTCTGGTTCGGCCGATGACCCCGATTGGCGTAAATCTCAGAAGAAAGAGGAACGAAGATCAACCTTGAACAGATTCGCTGCTCCATGGCCATTGCCAGCTACGACCCCTGTCATTGCTCCTATGCCAAGCTCCAGTCCTGGTCCTCGACTCCAGGCGTTGAAGACAAAGATCGGGGTTTCTGAACATGGGATGTCTCATGTAGAGGTCGGGAAGGGAGTGAATGAGGCGAAGGATGAAGGGACAAGTTTACCCTTGCCTAAACCTGCCAGCTTGCCCCCTCGTCCGGGACCTATTGCACCGGTGTATGTCAAACGCGAGTCGGCAGCTTTGGCACAACCCATGTCGTTGCCTAATGTGGCACCGATGAGTCATGTTTGGGAGACGGAGGAAGCTATGAGTGGCAACGAACGACGACGTAGGGCGAGTCAAGTGAGTGGAGGACAAGGTTGGCAGACGCCCAGTCGAGGTACGAGCGACGCAGGTTCTGTCAGCTCGGAAGAGGGTCGAGGTCAGGATCAGAGACCTGAAAGGTTGGTCAACTTGGGAAAGAGTTTGAGAAAGAGTGTCAGTGAGAAGGTCAGGGCATGAGTCGTAACTGTATGTCAGCAGTATGCAAACACATTCTTTCATGAGGTCGGAGACCAGTCCTCTATGGGGTAATTTCGAAGTGATGCGTGATACATATATCAATCTGTTATCATTGCCTAAATCATCTCACCAGCGCTCGTGATTCATATATCTCCCCCCCTCTACTCACGGTGAGATGGATATTGGGTGTGTTCAATGTCATTACAAGTACGATCGACGCCTATTGTCGATAAAAGCGTATAACCATGACGCTCAGATTGTCGGTGGAATAGTTGGTAATGGCGTGGTCGAGAAGTATTTTGCTTGCCGCTTGCGGATCGTGGACGTTTCTTATTAAGTTGACAGCCTCTTGATCTTGACAAACATCCCACAGCTGCAGATCAGCAAGAGCTCCACCCAGTCAACCGTCCGATTGTATGCGGAGACGTGAAAGGAACTTTCATGACTCACCCCGTCACATGCGACAATGAGGAACTCGTCCATCTCATCCAGGACAGTTTCGGTTGTGTAAGGCGAGCCAACGACAAATTCCTTCATAGATGCGTCACCGAGCGATCGAGTCACAGCTAGGACGCCTGGTGATCAGTGGCCCACTCATGACTGACGAGAGTTAGTCTGGTACCTCTGTCGCACTCACCATTCACCCGGTTATTCATGACAAAACCACCCGCATCCATTATTCTCTTAGCCTCCTGCGTGTCGCTCCCTTTATGATCGTAAGTCAGTCTCACTGCTTTGCCATCTCGGCTGTACCGTCAGCCGTGTACAATGTCCCATCTTGACGTCGTCGAGTACTCACCATAAAACCGCTCTAGCATCTCCCACGTTGGCAGTGTACAACACCCACTTCAAGCCTTTCTCACTCTGCGGTTCGATCGCCTCAATCCTTGACCCGTCCGCGGCAGACGGCGTGATAGGAATATCATCCTCTTCATCCTTCTTGTCCGCCCCTGTCAGACCTCGTACGAAATCTCTGATCCGTCTACCCGAAGTCTTTCTTCCCAAAGACGAGTCCGTCACACTGGAAGCACCTCCGATGCTTCCGTTGGTTCCCCCAGCCAATGAATTACGCCGGGATGGCGTGTAAGCAGTCTGAGCCTCCAATTTGTCCTCCCCCATCCCCTCCATCAGTCCACGAGGGCTGAAAGATGGGTTCAAGAATCCCTTTGGCTCTTTCTCGGCGTCCACATGTTCCGCCCGGAGAAAGGCAGTGACTGCTGTGCAACCTGATGACGTGCGTGCCGCATGCGCTAAGTGTGTGAGTCGGAGGTCAACTACGTGGAAGGTTTTGTTGAGAAGGTCTGGTACTGGCATGGCAGGTTGTGATATGAGTGCGTCAAGGAAGTACTATTCATCAATCGGTGTGTCCCTTAAGTTCATAATAGTAGTTCACTCACCTCGTGAAAATTCTGACCGCACCATTCTGCCGCGTGTTTCCCGGCATGACCGCTGAGAATCAGTATCATTGTGTGAATGTGAGGAAGGACCCACTCGAAGACTGCAAAATAACCTTGACCTCGAATACCAGCGAAATCATAGACAAAACTGTGCGCGTCTTCCATGGTTTTCCTGCATCGTTTGTTACGATCTTCACTCACACCGATTCGGAAGAAGACGTTTGGTTCTGAAGGTGAAATAGGGTTGGCAGGTACAGATGACGGATGACAATTAAGAGCCTGGCGAGTCAGCTAGGTGACATATTCACTATGTGAAACCAAGGAAAGGATGACTCACTCCATACGTGTCGGGTCCCTCGGCGATGGTGATGGTTTTACTTCGGGCGTTCTGATTGTCGGGAAGATTGTTAGACAGGCGCATGTTGATGTTGAGGGAGGGATCTGAAGAAGAGCTGGGTGAAGAGTTGACACCGTCGTCTGACATGGAAGTGGGTGTGGTAGTAGTGGGAGGGGGGGAAGTATAGCCTCTGGAGAAAAAAAAATGTCAGCTCGTAACGTGATCAAGTTAGAAGTAAAATGTAACAGGTACCAAAGCCCGAGCGCACTACATTCGTTCTGATCATCGGAGTATTTTACGTGATATCGCTTGCCGAGGTTGGTGAACAAAATAAGAGCAAGGATGATGGACGGGAGAAGGGGCGGGGATGGGAAGGATGATAGCATGGAGACGGGTGATGTGCCAAAATAGGTCACGGCCGAAAGAGCGGTGGAGCTGATGACAGTTGCCGAGTATATGATCATCCTCGATGTACATGGCGAGGAGATGTATCAGAGGCAGGATGGTATGAAGAGAGATATATGAATGACACTCACAGACCTGGATGACCCATGGCAGCTGAATTTGCTATAGAACGAACGAAGAAATGAGTGAGCTTATTTTTCTCTTTGACACTTCGGTTTCTGTTCATCTCCAATGTCGTCATCGTAGCCCCGCGTCGTCGTTTCGCGCTTTCACCTCTTCCATATTCCCCGTCCAAAACTGATGCCCTCGATGCAGGATGTATGGGATAATTAAGATGGATGAGAAAGGGAGAGATGATGTGGTTGTAAAGCTCGGTGTTCGACTTGACCGAAAGAGGGAGTCGTGTTGTAACTATGGTACGAAGTAATGTAAAGGGGACTCACAATCACCAACTACTTGGAGATTTGACAGAGTTGGATGATTCGGGTGAGCTTGTGCCAAGAAAGATTCCCCTTGTTCCTGCGTGTCCTGCATCGTGTCAGACTTGAGAATCTTCTCTCTTCCTCTTGCCCGCTTGCACTTTCACTTTGGTTTGAAACTTGATTCCGAAGCACGCAAGCACGCGGTGCCCGACTGCAAATGATGATGGCACAAGACGAGAGGCGAAGTGGATCTAGGCCGACGGTCGGTCTTCCGGGTTATTCAGCACCCGAAATCCGACGAAAGCTGACGGTATGCAAGGAATTGAACAGTTTGTATGATATCTGTTCAGTGATGTGTGAAGTGGTTGAGATGAAGTGTTGAGGAATGGAAAGAACAACGAGGCTAGACTGGTGGGACAGAAGGAAGCTATCAAAAGTTAAATTAATGGGGCCGAAAATCGGGTGGGGCTCGTTAGAAATGAGACAAAGCTCTCTTCATGTTTCGTCCAATCTTTTAATCAGACACTTCATGTATTATATCCAATCTATTCTGACTCTTCGACATTGCTATACATGACACATGGCACATCTCAGTTTGCGGGAAAAGTAGATCAGTGGTGGGGATAGAATACATATGACCGATGTTACCAGGTAAGTACTTGATGACGGTAATAGCGGGGCACCAGAACCGCACATCAAATCCAATCTTTTCCGGCTCTTGGAATCTTTGTCCTCAGATTTGTACATTGATTCTCACCTGCCATTCGCTATACAATACATGATGTCTTTCTTCAACATTGTTCGCAAGAGTCTTCCCTCATCTTCCCGTCTCATCGCCAGTACCCTTGTGCAGCCCACACGTCGCTACATCATCCGTTCGCCACTCATCCAAAATCGAAGACCCGCTTCAACCTCCACATCCGTCTCCCCTTCGACCCTTCCTGAATATATTCTTCCTTCTCATTCCAGTTCCACCCCGATCACACCCCTCAGAGTAACATCTCCATCAATACGGGCAATACAAGAAGAAGGATACTTAGAAAATCCCAAGTTACTCCCTCCTGACCAGGCCTTCTTACATATCACTCCGGAAGCCGTACAGGTGAGTGCTGACATCACTTCACATACGAGGGTCACTGACGTGCAGCAATTATCGGAGATAACCTCACGAGAACCACCGGATGTAGTGGATAAGGGGCTGGCTCTGAGAGTAGGAGTGGAATCAGGTGGATGTCATGGTTATCAATACACCATGGTACTGACAGAGGAGAGAGGTGTGGACGATTAGTAAGTTGTAAACTTGTTCAATCTCTTGCTCGTTCCTCATCATTCGATGTTCAGCTACATGACAATCTACGACAAGAGGTGATGATTGTGCTGACAGCGCAGTGTGATGCAACCAGATGGAGTTGATTGCATCCCCGTGGTGGTAGATCTCACATCATTAGGATTACTCAAAGGTGAGTCAATCCTTTGGGTACAAGACGAGACTGGACTAATACTCAGGCGCAACATTACATCATGCCACCGAACTCATCGGCTCAAGCTTTAGAATACAAGATAACCCTCAGGCGAAACAAGGTGGAGCTTGTGGATGTGGGATAAGTTGGGAGGCGAATGAAGCGGTTCCGACGTGAAGTCCCAGAGTTCGGACGTCTTGGTCTTTTAGAATGTGGATGTAGACGTGTACACTCTGTTATGTAGCTAGTCAAAATCATCGCGTCTCAGCTTTGATGCACGTATTCATAACGATGATACATGCCGCAAAGTTGCATGAAATACATATATGTCTTGGATGATGCTGGATGATGTTTTCATGCGTATGGTAATAACCGTCTCAATCTCTTTGCCTGTTTGTCAGCTTTGGTCTCTCTGTGCGACTTATAATCAGCTGACCTGTGAAGGCGTAGCATATGTCGTCAGACCCAATCTATTGATTTTACCCGCGCTCTTGCCCGTGTTGAGATGTTGTTTGCCAGCTCTATGACGTTTGAACTGTTGACATGATCAGTTTACGTCTGAGCAATTATACTACCTATCCCCCCCTCTCCCTCTCATTGCCCTCCTCCACATATGTCCACTCGTAAACTTCGCCTCTCCACCTCCGGCGATTGACTACAACGGATCCTCGGATATCTTCCAAGTTCACTGAGCCTAGGAGGTTTGAGATGTCCTCTCATCACTGACGGGATTGTAGCGGACAGATACGAGGTTTGGAGAGGCGGAAGTGAGAAGGGACATAAGATAAGACTTCAAATTTTCCCGTCTCTTCGCGGTAAAGATGTGCCGCTATGGGAGTTTGTAAGGTGGAGGAAAGCGGATAAAGAAAATATAGACTCACCAAACCCGTGGCTGTCATAGAGAACCTTTTCTTAGATCCTGAATGAGATTTTAGCTTTTGACATGGAATCGAACTTGACAACCCTCTCGAAGTCCCCCAAGCTCCTATAGTTCCCACGATTCTAAAAGGGGCGTGAAGTCGTAATGCCGTTCTTGTGAAATGACCCAGAGTCGCCAGCGTCACAGGGAGCATGGTTTGATGCTATTCCTATGTGCACTAGGAGCCTAAACGATTCACTCATAGGCCTTTTCCAGCAGTTGGATCGGAGGTTTCTGACAAAGTCACGTGAGCGGGGTTACAGTGTGTATAATCCCGTAACGCCGCTGTTAGCTTGTTTGGGTGGCCTGGTCTTCCTTTTACCGCCATCGCACTCCCTCACTCTCGCGTCTATTTAATCCCCACCCAACATCTCCTTTCTTTTCTTTAACCCGCAAGTCGTTTGTCTTCTTTCTTCTTGTGAGTCTCCTCACTCTTTCATCATCACCATTCTCCATCTTTGACATAATCCTTGTCGTCGGATCTTGGGTGAGGCATAAGAAGAAGAAAGTATAAAGATTGATAAGATAGTAACTTCAACACTCAACAACTCTTATATACACAATGTCCGGTCGTGGTAAAGGTGGCAAAGGTCTCGGTAAAGGTGGTGCCAAACGTCACCGCAAAATCTTGCGTGATAACATCCAGTGAGTCTTGCTTCATCAGTCCCACTTATCATCATCATTATCCGCAGTATGATATCGTATATGAGACTAGATAAAAGTTACCAGTGAGAGAGAGATGAATACTGATGTAATAGGGGTATCACCAAACCTGCTATCCGTCGTTTGGCTCGTCGTGGTGGTGTGAAACGTATCTCTGGGTTGATCTATGAAGGTTTGTCCCTATGCTCTTTCTCCCATGTCCACCCACACTCCTTCATCCTTCGCTCCCTCCATGCACTCCGACCTGCAAGCCACTCTTCACCTCATCACTCCGCGCTGAATCAAAGGAGTGTACGAGTGCAGTAATCAGTGGAAGGGGTATGCTGACTAATAGAAACCCGTGGAGTCCTCAAGATCTTCCTCGAGAACGTTATCCGTGACTCTGTCACTTACACTGAACACGCCAAGCGCAAGACCGTCACTTCGCTCGATGTTGTTTACGCCCTCAAACGCCAGGGTCGTACCCTTTATGGTTTCGGCGCTTAAACGAATCATCCGTTTGGTGGCAGAGGGAGAGGAGTCGTTCGTACTTTGTCGTTTTTGGGGGAAAGATTTCGTTTTTCGTTTTATGAGAGGATCTTGGATCCCGTCCATGTTTGACATGTGATGTATGGTGTTGAATGATTCATATCCGTTGCATCTCCTGAAGCTAAGCCTCGAAGAGCACTATCTGATGTGAGGAACATGCTGCCAGCGTCGACCCAGAGCAGCATGCAGCAGCAAGAGCATAGGATAGGCACTGTCCGGAGGCTGAAGATGAGGATGTAGGTTCTGCGCACAATGTCCGCCCAGTTTCAATCGGCAGAGGAGGGACATCTGACTTTGACCTCAGCCGCGTTATATCACGGAATATGGAGAGAAGCGATACCAAGGGCTGATGACGGAAATCATATCTAAGATAGCTCGTTATGAGATCACACCTTGATGCAACATGTACAATGCAAATTCCAATACCTACTTCTTCTCCTTATCCTTTTCAGAATCCTCTAAGCTCATTGCTATAGCTCTAGCCATCGCCGCTTCTTCATCCTCTTCATCTTCATCCATATTCACATCCTCTCCTCCATTCTCATTGCTCATCGCTATAGCTCGACGCAAAGCAGCTTCATCGTCTTCTTCCTCCATCGTCTCATCCTGTTCTATCCCCCCAGGAGTTCCGGTAGAAACGACATCACCAGGCGCTTGAGGTAAAGAAACGTTGGCGTTGCTCAAAGGAGCTGTGAGACCGACTGGTAGAGAAGCAGAGGTGGTGGTAACGGATTCCTGTAGAGCTGAGGGAACAACAGATGACGATGATGTTTGTTGTGCTGCGGCCTCTTGTAAAGACATACGAATAGCCTAGAAATTAGAAAATATGTTTTGATAGATGAAGATGAATACTCACCATGGCCAATTCAGGATCCATGTTAGGATCCACTGCATCTTCCCCGACTTGACCAGGAATGGGAACAGGATTATTAGGATCAGCCAAAAGAGAAGAGATGATCATATCGGATAATAAATGTGGACCAGGGGGAATAGATACTAGATGTCTAATTGATCAGCATTCAGTCTGAACCTCATCATCATCCATATAAGATGTTACTCATTCTATTCTTGGACGTTTGATTAATGAGATGATAAGCCATTAATGATCAGGAATTGGATGAGGTAAAGTTGACTTACGATTCTCCTCCTCCTGCAGCTTCTATCAAAGCTCCTAACTTTTCATCATTCTTCATTCCCTCTTCACCAAAAGTCACCACATCCACTAAAACGTTATTCTTCCTTAACTTTTTCCCAAGTTTAACCAAAGCTTCTTGAGGGTCTGAAACTGGAGAACCGACAAACACGATAACTCTCTGTCTCTGGTTTTTATTTTCTCGATGTTTCAATGCTAGCTGAGCGATTTGGACGGCAGTTGAGAAATCTGAATCACCACCGATGGAAGCTTTTCCCATTGCCGATAACAGTTTACCGATATCGTTAGTTGGTGTGACCAACAAAGAAGGGCTGATGATCAGTCTGGTATATTCATATTTCAATTACCTCCTTCTGTTTCTCTTTCTCTTTCACCTTCCCCTTTCGTTACGTCCATGTTCCCATCTTTAGTCTATAGTTACACTTGCGTGCTTCTCACTTGGCCCAGAGCATCAAGGAAATGAGGGCGAGAAAAGCAGACCCGACTTACGACTTCCCGGCCATAGTCATGAGACCCACAGCTGATTCAGGATTAGAATCAGTCTTCGCTGTGAATACGGTCGATACTGCTTGAGCTTGAGCTTGAAATCTCGTCGGAGGGTAATCTCCATTCCTGAAGTATGAGCTGTATCCAAATTGCTGTTGAGTCTTCTCTCACCGCATATACTCGGAATTATCGAGTCTACACTATCAGCTGTCTTCATGAGAAATGGATGACAGGACTCACACTAACATACATGATTCAAGCGGCATCTTGTATCGTTATGGTTGAATGGACGAACGACGCGCAACCTACGACTTGGGGTGGACGGGGAATGAGGATTATGTGCCACATTTCAAAACGCCGAAAGGTCAAAGCGTCCCATGCGTCACTGACCGCTCCCCTACTCGCCCCCCTCCCCCTGTCAAGCCGTGCAGTTCATTCCTCTTACACATCTTGACTCCATAGACATCCCACTTGTCTCCTTTTTTCTTATCTATATTCTTAAAACACTAAGTAAACTGTGAGCACTTTTCTATTTCTGACCTTGTCTGAGAATCTGTAAAGTCGAGGGGAGAATCAATGGAGTCCAGGGGGGTATGTTCACACCGCCCCACTCAACCCTCTCTCTTGCTTCATACTTTATTTGCCCCATTTATCACATACCGGCCTGTTGCCACGATCATGCTCGGTGAAGTCTCCTTGGCCTTTGGTTGCTGTGCTATGGACCGACGTATTCTTGATAACTTGTCTGGACCTTTCTGCACAGTGTGCACTGCCTCGAACCTTATAAATTTCTATCGCCTCCCTTGGCTCCACTTTATCTTCTTTGGACCATTCCTTTGGTTATTCCGCTGCAGTCTGATCAACTGGAAGAGCGCTGACACTGTTTCTTTCTTTCTTTTTACTCAACAGATAGACACATCAACATGTGAGTGTGATCATGATCTCTTTCGAATCGTCGCTGACATTCCAGGGAGGACGAGGGTCAGTCGATAGTAATATGACAACGCATTCCATACTGATCGCTCACAGTCGCGGCGCTTGTCATTGACAATGGTTCTGGTATGTGCAAAGCTGGTTTTGCCGGTGACGACGCTCCTCGAGCTGTCTTCCCGTGAGTAGTCCATCCTGTAGAACCTGCGTTGACTGACGACATAGATCTATCGTCGGTCGTCCCAGACACCTTGGTGTGATGGTCGGTATGGGACAGAAAGATTCTTATGTCGGGTGAGTGGCGAATTACATCCAGATAAAATGTGCTCTAACCTATAGTGACGAGGCTCAGTCCAAGAGAGGTATCCTCACCCTTCGATACCCCATCGAACACGGTGTCGTCACCAACTGGGATGACATGGAGAAAATCTGGCATCACACTTTCTACAACGAACTGCGTGTCGCTCCAGAGGAACACCCCATCCTGCTCACCGAAGCGCCTTTGAACCCGAAACAGAACCGTGAAAAGATGACTCAGATCATGTTTGAGACCTTCAACGCTCCAGCTTTCTACGTCTCCATTCAGGCCGTCTTGTCCCTTTACGCCTCTGGACGAACCACTGGTGTCGTTCTTGACTCTGGTGACGGTGTCACCCACACTGTACCCATTTACGAGGGTTTCTCACTCCCTCACGCCCTTCACCGTGTCGATTTGGCCGGTCGTGACTTGACCGAGTACCTCATCAAGATTCTCATGGAGCGTGGTTACCCCTTCACCACCACCGCCGAGAGAGAAATCGTCCGTGACATCAAGGAGAAGCTTTGTTACGTGGCTCTCGACTTTGAGCAGGAGTTGCAAACTGCCGCTCAGTCATCGGCACTCGAAAAGTCGTACGAACTTCCCGACGGTCAGGTCATCACCATCGGTAACGAGCGATTCCGCTGCCCCGAGGCTTTGTTCCAGCCCTCTTTCCTCGGTCTCGAGTCTGCCGGTATCCACGAGACGACTTACAACTCGATCATGAAGTGTGACTTGGACATCAGGAAGGACTTGTATGGTAACGTTGTCTTGTCTGGTGGTACTACTATGTACAACGGTATCGGTACGTTTGAGTCTTTCTCGTAATAACCACCATAACTGACAAAATCAGCGGACAGGATGCAAAAGGAGATTACATCTCTTGCTCCCTCGTCGATGAAGGTCAAGATTGTCGCCCCTCCTGAGAGGAAGTACTCTGTCTGGATCGGTGGTTCCATTCTCGCTTCTCTGTCTACCTTCCAGGTGAGTGGAGTCGCTTGGTCTCGTGAGGTTGGCACTGACGGCATTAGCAAATGTGGGTCTCCAAGGCAGAGTATGACGAGGCTGGTCCTTCGTGAGTCGCGTCTAGAGTTTGTTGTGACGACTACTGACGTGATAGCATCGTGCACCGTAAATGCTTCTAAACGACGACGCTGAGATAGAGACTGTGTCGATGATTCCCGGTAGTCTAGCTGAAATGGTCATTTGTTGATAGGCTCTGCAGAATGTGAGATGAATGACGATGGCCAGGCATTATGAAGGGGTATACATGTGTGATTGCTCTGACTGTATTGCTGCCTAATGCTACATGCTATGAGTACTGTGTTCTAAATGCTGCATAGGAACCTACTCCTTCTGCTGCCCTCTGGTACGATAACGACTTAGGGCACCACCCTAAGTGACCCCGGGCACCACCTTCGGTCAGGAACCTAATGAATCGAACTAATGAGTTAGAAACACAATGCTATTATGGGTGGTTCCTCTACTAATCAATCGAAAAATTACTAATGATATCCTCCCAACCTCCCTAACCCCCTAACCTCCCTAAACCCCTAACCTCCTAACCCCCTAACCCCCTAAAGGTCAACTATTAGTATTCCGCCTCCACCTGCGGCAGAGGCAATGACTTACAGAGAGTAGGCACGCCCCATTCTGAATTAGGCACGCCAAAGGTGGTGCCCGGGGTCACTTCGGGTGGTGCCCTAAGTCGTTATCTCTGGTACGAAGCACATCCAAGTATAGACAGTCTATAGAGGATCGAAGGCTATAAGCTCGGCCGAGTTCAAGTTACCCGATCGGGACGAGGGGGGGGGGACCTCCACCGGCCACACGGACACCTCCACTTGTTCACAATCTCCCTCCCTTCCAGGTTCCCACACCTCTTCACCTCTCTATCAGCACCGTATCTCACAATGTCAGACGAAGGTGATCTCGAAGATCTGTACGGAATCGACGAAGATGATTATAACGGTCGTTACTATGACCTCGAGATCCGGGCAGACGACGACGAAGACGAAGACTATGAAGTGGACGATGATGATGAAGGTGAAGAAGATGATGATATGGGGGATGCTGAACTAGTAGATGAGTTCCCAATCACCATCGAACCTGAAGATCACGATGATGGTGGTCGAGTCAGTTTTCATCAATTGGCAGCTTTGTTTCAAAATACTACTTCCAACCAAGCCAGACAGAATCTCTTAGCTCAATTACTAGCCGAACCTACCACTGATCCACTCCCTCGAAGGGAATCCGTAAACAATGCCAGATCAGCATTGAGGAGAACGTTGTTGGGTGCAGCCAGAGGAGGAGGAGAAAGGAGGCAAAGGGATAAGAAATGGTGGAACGAACAAAAAGAACCTCATCCTAATGGAGTGGTATTACTAAGATCGGGGGAATTTGGAAGGGTTGGGGAGTGGGGATTGGGTAAAAAGAGACCTAGAGTCGGGTTTGCTCATGCATCTGGAGCTAAGAGATTCATGAGAAGAGGTCTGGTATCACCTGTGAGTTTAAAACATCTCATCGATCGTCATTGCCTAAAAGATGCTTCTTACACTCAATGACCTCATCGTTCTCACCTTCCATTGTCTCTTCAGTCCATCTTCACAGCAATTTCTCTCCCAGTCGTCATATAGTCTCCCATGGATAGTGAGAGTATATCATGTTTGTCAGACTTAGACTCGAGGTTCTCATTGTAACGAAGGGAAAGATGTTATAATGTGGACAAAATCTGATCTCAGAATATCATCCCTAATACTCCAGGCACTGTAGTAGCTTCATATCCTTCAATACCTTATGTAGGTCAATATTGTGGCGAAGATTATGGTGTCTTCTGTAAGTCTTCTTACCAACATAGTATAAAAAAACACTGACTGAACTCTTTCTTGATACTGCTCAACGTCTCAATCGTGATTTGCCACCAGACGCCGCCACTCAGTATTTTACCATTCATCTTTATTCCACCACACAGGCTAAGAAACAACCTAAGCGACACCCTTTGTCTAGTGCGACGGAGAGTACGAGGGTGGAAGTGGATGATGATGATGACGAAGAGGACACTTGGGGGAATTGGTCGGCTGGGAGAAGAGGGATGGCAGTGGAAGATACTAGTATGAAGAAGATTAAGACTGTTCAAGGGGAGGAGGGAAGATGGACTATCACTGATTGTGATGCGGATAAGAAGGGGGAGAAGTGAGTCTATTCAATCTCATCATCATCATACACCCTCTCACCCCTCCTCTTCTAACTCTTGATTGTGATCTTGTGCTTATTTTCGAATTTCATGAGAGTGTCATGGTAGTCGAGAAGATCATTGGGATGGAACGAAAATGAGGCTGAGATATAGAATGATATATTCCTCTATCACACCTTATGTGCACATGCTATACACCGCTCAACATGACTCGGAGCATGTATGTCTCGACTTTACAGGCTCTCGAAGAAGCCGCGAAGAGCAGTGGGGTTATGACAGTTTTGGCGTGAGTTTTCATTTGAAACGGCTTCTTGACAACACTCATTTGTCAGATCTGGAGCATCAGGTTCTCAGCCGATGGGAAAGAAGTCGTGGCTGGTGCAGGTAGTGGAAAGATCATGGTATATGATATCGAAAGTCAACAAAGATCTCTGAGCGTCTCGGGTCATTCGGATGATGGTATGTCCATGCCCACATATGATAAGCATCGCTCATCCCTAGTCAATGCCGTATGCTTCGCAGATGAGACATCTACCAATATCCTAGTCTCCGGTTCCGATGATGGCTATGTCAAAATCTGGGATCGACGTTCATTGTCTTCGTCAACGCCTTCCGGTGTGTTGGTAGGTGCTACAGAAGGAATCACCTATACTTCTCCTAAAGGGGATGGGAGGTATGTCGTGGTGAATTCAAAGGATCAAGCTGCTAGGTTGTATGATTTAAGGAAAATGAGAAGTCATAGTGAATTTACTACGGAACCTGATGCTGTGTCTAGGTATGGTCAACCGAGATTTGATTGTAAGTCTGAGTTTCTATTCTTACTTCCCTATGTTACCTTCCTTTGTCGTTGGTGTCCATGACGTTACTATGTCATTACAGCTCACTAGATCTGAAGTTTCAGAGACGTTAGGAGAGTACGAGTACTGATTCGTAGATCGGAACTCACATTATCCCACACCACAAAGATTGGCGCATCCGAAAGATTGTAGCGTCATGACATATCGTGGTCATGCTGTTTTACGTACTTTGATCCGATGTCATTTCTCTCCTCGAGAATCTACGGGACAACAGTATATTTATTCGGGAAGGTGAATCCTTCCTTTCTCTTTACATGACGTATACCTTGTATTGATAAATAGTGCCGATGGGAAAATCCATATTTGGTCCCTTGACGGTCGTGTGGTACAAGGTGATGTCTATCTTCTACTCCGACATCCCTCCCCCTCTCAGTAGATATTCATATCGCTCGTCGCTACTACATTATTGGTGCTAAGATCATTAATGCATGTCGCTGACGACGCAGTTCTGGATCGAGCCCTGTCAGCTCCTTTGAAAGACAGAAACAACCAATACACAGATCCCTCCGCACCTCAACTCCCACGCGTCGCTCGTAGAGACCAAACCGAAGATTCTTACCAAGCCTATTGCGTCCGCGACGTGAGTTGGCACGGGTACGAACCTACCCTCATGTCCACCTGCTGGGAGATGGATGGAGGTTACAGACGAGGAGGTACTCTGGCGAAACATGAGTGGAAGGGACTTGGGAAAGGCGGATTACGTTCGTTGGAGGATTGGAATGAAAAACAAGTTGCGGAACAAGCAGGATTAAGTAGAGGGTGGGGTTTGTTCGGTTAAACCACGGTTTTTTGTCAACTTCGTATTCGATCTGATGCTTTCAAAAGTTACTATAGTTGTAGAGTTTTCAAAGGTCAATGATTATTTGTAGATGTATCCCCATGTTTTTGTTCACATATATCCATTGCTGGACCACTCCCATTTGACCCAATTCTTTCCCACTGACATCATGTTGAATGGTGGATGACCGTGAGTGGTAAAAAGTTGAGAAAGTCGCGACGATCGTTCCTTTCGACATTTACCTTTCTCCCTTCAAAATCTATGTCGATATATCTTCCCACACTTTCCTCTCACTTCCTATATACATCTCGCCACAACAACCTTGAACCTTTGTCTCTCCTTCGCACAGCATGAAAACAGGTTCTCGGCCCACCTAGTGAGTATTTGAATACTTCATTCCAACCTGTTTCATGTCTTGAGTTCTTCTCTCTTCATCTTTCGTATCTTCCCTCTCCTCAAACTATCTTCCAACATCTTTGGAAAGGTCGAAACATTGATCTCAGTAACGACGTTAAATCGTCTTTTCTATCCATCTCCATCATCATTCTTTTTGATCCTACGTAAATCGATAATCTGGGGAGATAATATATCACACTATATCATCTCTTCATAACGAAGATACGAAAGACTTAGAAAGAAAAAAACGATTTAGTATGACCACAAAACCAGAATGGTCTATACGTCCACCAGAACAACAACCTATCATTAATTTTGATACTACATCTTCAGGAAATACTTATTCTCCAATACAAACAAATCCTTCGAACCCTTTTGGTGTCATTCAAAATATGAACAATGGGTTATATTTTCAAACACAACAAAATGTTCAAAATGGGTTTTATCCACAAACACAAACTCAACATGGGCCTTCTAATAGTACTCCATATTTTCACACGAGACCGATCAATATCATAGGTCAGAATCAAATACCATTACAAACATCAACGAATCAATTTGGTTCATCAAATTCCGGAGTAACAAATTTACATTATGGACAGATACATCAACCTGTACCTGTGAACCCGAATCCGAATCCGAATCTTGATTCATTTACTCCACAATCAAATTCGTATGGTCATTTTCAAACTCAGATTCAATCGGGTCAAATCGGACTTGACAACAACCTTGACACATATTCGAAAGAGTCTTCAAATACACCTTATCCTCATCCAACGAGCGATAGTAAATCTCAGTCAACCACTCTTGCTTCGAACTATAATGCTATCTTTCAACAAATTCCACAACAATCATCGAACTCGAGTGCCAATCCTGACTCACAATCGATTGCACCTGTACCACAATGGCCCAATCAGTCGACGGGACAGAATATGAACCCAGCTTTGGCTGAAGCACTGAGATCTGTCTGGTTTGGAGGTCAATATCAAGGTATGGGAGTTGATCAACATCAGGGAGGAGGACAATCCAACTCACGATCACAATATATCTCTCAGAATCTCACTCGAACAAATCAGAATGCTATACCTCAATGGCCATTTCAAGCCTTTCTACCAGCTCAGCTTCAAGGGGGTTTAAACACTTTCGGGAATTCCAACGCTCCTCTTGTTCCAGTGGTAGAAGATGTATCCATGACAAACACTCAAGACGTTTCTCAACCTCCTGACTTGTCTCAATGGCAATTTCCAGTCGTCGTATCGGGTACTTCTCAGAATTTAACATACACAACAAACACAAATCACAATCTCTCGACATCGATCAATCAAAATCCTCCTCCTACGCCTTCGCTGACACAACCACAGTTTCAAAGTCCTGTGTCAGACCATTTCCATGGATTGACATTCACGCCGAGACAAAATACCCTTCAGCCCAACATAGAAAACTCGTCCACGCCTAGACAAACTTCTACCCACACATTCCGACAAAATATTCCTCCGAGTCCATCGAACATGGTCGTTGATATAACTTCTACGCCACAACGACCTACACAATCAATGGGGACGACGGTGAATCCTCTGATGTTTCAATCGAGACAAAGCCTCTCTCAGACTTCAGGACAGACGACGAACGTTCAAGTGCCATTACCTACCACAAGACGTGTCTCTTCTCAGACCTCCGGACATATGCAAGTCTCATCCCACTCCATGGGACAAGATACACCTCATTCGACCACACAAAGTTCTTCTCATCCATCTCATACGTCCAATCAAGATTCATCGCATTCGCAGAAACAGGAGGAATCTCACACAACCACGTCAGACGTGTCTTCGAAATCCATCCATGCCACTGGTCAAAATGTCCAACCTCCCACCACACATCCAGTTCCTACCACAATTCCTCAATGGCAACCTCAGACTCATCACTCGACATCACCTAAAGCTCCATTACAAGCCATAGACAAGATCTCTCCCGTTTTGATCCCAACGCAGACGTTCAAACTCACCCTTCCACCCAAGGCATCTAGGTCAGTCGCTGCAGAGCCTATATCAGCTCAGTTCAACCTTGCTGGGCCAGCTCCAAACCAATGGCCAGCACAGATGACCACAACAAGCCAGACGACGCCCACTCACTCAGGAGTATCAGCCATACCAAAAGGATTTTGGCGAATGAATCGACCAGATCCTCTCCAGCCAACTTCTCAGACGATGCCGAATGGTAAACCACCCATTCTCGAACACCCAACATCACCGAAACAATCTCAGTCGTCTTTCCAACTGAAATCATCGCCAACCAGGTCCCCAATACCTCAGAAAGAGTCGTCCTCTACATCATCTCAACCCATCGTCACAAACTCGATTCAACCTTCTTCTAATGTCTTCCCACCGGGATTCCCTCACAATCTTTCGCCCCGCACCAAAGCTAAATTTCTACACCTTCTTTCACTCAAATTGAAAGCGAATCCCCAGACATTCTTACATACCGCCCCAGCATCCGTCCCGACTGCCACGGCTCAGAAAGATACGCCGACGACGTTACCACAGGCGGAGGAGACTAGAGTGACTAGTCCATCGGCTTCAAAACCTGCGGTCGAGATCAAAGCCACTCAGCCACTCATCCCCATCACAGACCAGAAAGATCTTTTGTCGTCTGGAGCAAAATTACCGGCACCTCGAGCCGCCTCGTACGCAGAGTCGTCGACACCATCGCCTGATACTGATCGAAAAGAGTCTTCACCCCTACCGTCGAATACCACCCAAGCCGAATTGTCACCGGCTTCTGAACGGAAATCATCGGAACATCCCCAAGCTTCTCCACATCCAGATCCTCCACCAACGCCGTCTCATGCGAATGGGCAAGACCAATGGTCGGACCCACCTCCGCTGACACAGTCACTTCATCCTCGACGTCGATCTTCTACGGAGGTATCACGTACTCCAACTCATATCAGCGTCCAAGGTTGGTCACCCGCACCGTCACACACAATGATATCAGGCGCCTCGCCAGAGTCTTCGCGGACAGAGAACACGCCTACTCCTTCGCATGAGGATGATGATGACTTTGTTCCTGAGTCTTCTCAAGCGGTCATGTCAGACGTACAACTCACACCTCATACGGAAAGACCAGATATAACCCTGTCGCCATCTCCCGTGGTCAAGCGAGAGTTATCACCAACGCCGTCTCCCACTGGACCAGGAGGACCACCACCCGTAGCCCATCAGACGAGACCAGATGGTCCCATCCAAACCACTTCCCCCAGCCGAGATGAAGCGACCCTTCAAGATGACGTTCCGACGAGAACTGATGTTCAAAGCTACCTTCCGTTCCCCGAAGAGCTTCCAGGTGCGCCATCACCTCTGCGACTGGCTCTTGAGCGGAAGCGGCTAGCACAGGAGGCGAAAACAGCAGCTGCGGCAGCGGGGACGGGGACGGCAGCGACAAATAATATGTCTCAAAGACGACCCGTGAACCCAGCTGAAATAGCCTCTTTCAACGCTTTTCTCCAAGCAAGAGCTAACGCTATGCGTCAAGCTGGTCATATCCGTCCACCTCAAAACTTTCACCCAGGCCAAACGTTTCCTCCGAACCAAGGATACCATCCATCTAAAGGTTTTCGTCCACCACACTTGATTCCTGGACAAAATTTCCATCCAGGACAAAACTTCAACCCGGCACAGAACATGTACGCAGCTCGGAATCCTCATCTAGCACAAAACATCCGTCCACCGACTTCCATGCATCCAGGACAGAATATGAATCCAAGATCAACTTTTAACCCTTCTCAAGTACGTCAAAGACCATCATCACCGCCTGCATCACTCTCTGCATCTCAAGCTTTACCTGGAGTACCTCCAAAACTTTATCGTCGATCATCAGATTCAGGTCCACCACGTAAACGTCATCGAAAAATACGTCCTTCTGATTTATCCGTAACTTTCATGTTGAATCGGAAAACCATCATTACCATTTCTCAAAATCATGTGATTCTCCCTTCTGAAAAATACCTGGTAAGGGAGAAACATAACAAAACTCGAGATTGGATTCAAGCTTTAGATGGTGGAGATGGTGAACCTAAATTACCACCAGGACCAAAGAAAAGAAAATTGAGATCTCCAGGAATAACTAAAAAACAACCTGAACCTCTTTTCTTAGCAAATTTACCATTATCTTCCAGATCCACAAATTTTTCAAATACTTCAAAATCAAATTTCTCATATTCTTCTTATCCTTCAAAACCCACTAACTTTCAACTTCCTACAAGACCTACTAACTTTCAATATCCATCAAGACCTACTAACTTTCAATATCCTACAAACCCTACTAACTCTCAATATCCTCCAAACCCCAATAACCTTCAATATCCATCAAGACCTAATTATCCACCTTCCAACAGACCTCCAAACTTATCTTTCACACCAGGTACATCATCAACATTACCACAACCAACGACTCCTACGAATCTACCAAATCCATCAAGACGAGAAGAACCATTACCATTACCAACACCATCACCGTTACCATTACCATTACCATTATATCAAAACCAAAAGAATTACCACCTATCATATTCAATTTACGTACTAAAAGATTATCAACTTCACCACTTTATACTTCTTCTGAACTTACTCCAAGTCCACCACCTTCTCCTATCCCAACTGGAATATGGACAAAAGCTTTCCCTCCGTTAAAGAAGAAAAACGAATCGTCAAAACCCATCCCTATCAAATCAAAACCGAAATCAATCAATACATTACATCATTTATCTTATCCTTCATTATCATCTGATGGAAGTGAATCTTCAATATCAGAAATATCAATTGATTCTCCTTTATCGATTTATTCATCTTTTTCTCCTTCGTTTAAAGAACCTAAAAAAGGAATGTTTTCTTCCCTTCCTCTTCCTCTCACACAACATCCTACGACAATGTTGTCGGAATTGAAGATATCTAATTCTGCTCCAGCGAAATTACCTTCGTTATTTTTACTGGACGAAATGGGAAATGAAAAGAAAGAGGACGTAGAGAGATATAGATTATCGAGTTCTGTTATTTCTGAAGAACGACCTGTTATCGTTTCGTCACCAGCTCAAATAAATGCGAGTGTAACAGCTCCTCAAGTTCAGGTCGAGGTTGTTCATAGATCCCCGACACCCGTTCAGACGAGAATGACACCGGTGCAAACGGACAAGATACCGACTGAAACGAATGAGACACTGCAACTTCGAGATGACACCGACTCAACACTACGTCAGAAGAAATATACGCAGTCCAATTGGCCATTGTTATTCACGCCCTCCAGTAGCGAGACCATCCTCAATACCGATCCCACGCCTGTACCTGAAAGACAGAAGACTGAACAGAGATTTCCGAAATGGGTTACTGAAGCTTCCGTCACTACTTGAACAAGTATCTTCTCCCTCCATCACACAAAGAAAGGTCCTCAGAGGACCTTGACTATTCTCATGTTTGGAACGCATCAGGTGTTTCACATTTTGTACCGTGTAACTACTGTACGCCGGTCGACAAGACTGAAAATCTACCCAGGCATTCGTGGATCATTATGTAGAAATTGTATAAAAACGTAAAACCAAACATGTCATGCATCGTTATCATCATCACCACAATTTATCCATCATTTTCAAACTCAATTCCACACCTAAGAACGTTGCCGCCTGTTTGTCAGTATCTCTTATATCATGAATTGTTGATAAGGATGACTGACATTAGCAGGGAAAGCTCTAGCCATGGCAGGTCCGAAACCTTTCCATAATGCCGTGGCACCATCTTGAGCGATCAATTTCCGAGCACAATCCATGAATCCTGTGTAAGTGCCTTGAGGGGCGCTTTGAAGACGGGATTTGATTGTCTAAAGTCAATACAGATCTTCCATCTCTTGACCATCCCGTCCGATAGCATAGACCATAGCGTTATCATACTGAGTATGTCGGATTGACGGATATGATACCTGTTTTCACAGTTTGACGTGAGAACAGATGATGGACGGACGTCAGAGGATAGGACCGGGACGAAGTTTGAGAGGCTGGGTTGATGGAAGGAGAGACAAATTGGGTCGAGAGAAAATCTCACATCAGGTGGAATGGCAAGTGACCACATGGCCACACCTGCAGTACCACCAGCAAGCATGACGACTCCTAGTGACAATGGAGGTGCAGCGGAAGGTTGATCTGATCCTGGAAGTCGAGGTGGAGGAGCTGATAGTCGCTTCTTGAGAAGTTCATATGTGGCGAAATAACTTTGTGTCAGCAAACGTCTCCTCAGGTGCAACATTCTCCCTTTTCTTATGGTATCTGATGCACAAGCGTACCCGGGTCCCGGTATGACCTTTGAGGGAAGGAAAGGAGATAGGAGAGGAGAGAAGGGAGATGGAAGAGAGATACCCACACTGCACTTCCAGGTCCATCACGAGCCAACGTAGCGACTGTCCCTCTGAATATAGACCTCAAACCTCCTTCGGCGTACAGTTTACGTAGAACGTCCGTAGGACCAGAATACATCGATTGACCTCCTTGTCCTTGTACCTGGATATCAGTACTTGACTCTCTACTTCTCTCCCAGTGTCTTGATCGAGCCGGATGAATCACTAATGTTCTTCAATAGGAGAAAGGGGGGGGGGGGGGGGGGGGGGGGGGGAAAAAAAAAAAACCCGATTCCACCTGCAACAACACCTTGACCCTTTCAGCAGGAGCAGCGACCAAAGTCGCAGGAACGGCAGAGAACCCTCCTGCAAAAGCTAATTCTCCCAGACTCAGAGCTTGGTCTTTACGATCGGGTGTCAAAGCGTATACTATCCGTTTACCAGCGTCGTATCCCTCGAATATCAGTATTTCCCCTCGTCTCTTTGTAAGCTCCTCAACCATACCGATCGTCCAACGCGACCGGTTTGCCAAACTTTCGAAGCTTCTTCAGCCTATTCACGGATCTACTCTCAATCTCTCAAAGAGATTTCATGGTGATGATCAATGTGTTGGGTGTAAGGAGAAGAGTCACTTACCCAAAAGGAAATGGCAAATATAGGAGTTACACCAAATAAAGGTGGAGTGATACCTCTGTACATACTACCCCATCAATCATGACTCATCAGAAACGAAAAGTACCCACCCACGAATGCCATCTTGAGCTATGGTCTTACGTATCACATCCACAGCTCCTGTGTAGGTACCAGGTGAAGCTGTTTGTAATCTGGTCTTTGTGAGATCGAACGGATGGCCGACGAGGACGCAAGAGATGCCTGAATGTTAGCTTTCGTGGCCCGTGCACGTCATGTAGCTGTGACGAAATTCCAGTTGCGAACTGAGAGACTAGTCATGAGGAAAGATCACGAGCTGCATGACATGAAAGTGTATGTAAGCATGTATGAAGAGGAAAGAGACCAAGGACTCACCTCCAAACCCTCCACTGAGGAACGACTTTACTGGATCAACTGTGGATTTTGCAGAAGCTTCTATATCTGCGGCTTCGTCTGACATGTTTGTCAAGTATTTCAACTGCTTACTGATCCTCCAGTCGTATGATCGTATTGCCACTCGTCTCAGGTGTCTGAGATTGTAGAGTTGAGAGACACAGAGAGTAAGAATACAACAAGAGTTGTGATTTTTTTACGAGATGGAATGCTTGTGAGTGACCGGTTAACTAACACCGACATTGCCGTTTCCCACGTGGCTCCCCGGTCAAGCTGTTTCCGACGGAACCGGAACAGCCGCCAAGCCGACCAGATCCCAACGCTGACGCTCTCTCTCGGCTCATCACTATCTCTCTTTGCATCTTATCCCCTTGTCCACTTGTATGCCTAGCCTATAGCCGACACTTACGTCTCATCTACTCTTACTGATGTGCTCTCGTCTCGGCATCTCGCTCATCTTTTCATCTATCAATACTGATTCTCTCAAATCATTTTCACCCCCAACTGACACTCTCTCGATGGACAGGATACCTACTCGACCCTTGTCCCCCAATCAACTCCGTGACACTACAGTGTTCTATGGA